GGGGGGGATTTCGTTAATCTATTCATTCACGTGCATCACTAATCAGATTAGCAACCTCAAACCACAATTATATTAGCGGCGAGGTCCCACAAGCAAAGAAGATTGGATTCAAAGGCCGAATCCGGAAGCTCCAATATATTTAATCTTATGCTCAAACTGACACTCAAGGGTCGTCGGGGGCGCAGGGGATACCAATGGATGCACAGTGCATATTTGTTTTTTGTTTTTTTTTTCTAAAAAGAAGCACTTCATCATATTTAAAATCTAGTCAAGGATCGAGGCCGGGGACCTCACAAATCCACCCGGAGTTGTCCCGGCAGCATCAGCCGGTTTAGCTTAATCAGACTGTCTCACTTGATAACTGGTCTCCTCTCTAAGTCTCTCCCGTCTGCTAGCTCAACCACTCAGGTACCAGTGTACAGGCCTCCCTATCCGATTACCTATTCCTCTCAACGTCACCAGCCAAAACTCTTCCAAATCTCTTGGTTACTGGGTTTCATTGATATCCTATACTATCCTACTTACCCTACTCCCTACCTCTACTATCTAACTAACGACTAGCTATCTGCCTACCTAACTATCTACGCCTTCACAGGCCTATACGGCCTGACACCGGTCTAAACCGACCGATTGGAACTGAGTTCCCAGTCTCCATGGCACTCTGCCACCCTTCCTTCCCTTAATGACCTCCGTCGGTCCCATCCTCGAACCGAGCTGCCCTGGTTCGTAGACCGACTCTACTATTTCTACCTACCCTCCTTCTAATAGCCACCTGGAGTATACCAGTCCATGTTTTTTGAAACATGCGGTTCTTTGCCGGGCATTTAATTCACTTATTTATTTTCTTTAGATCTTTAATAATCAAGTAAAAAAAATCATACTGTGTATGCAAGTTCCTTTAGGAAAAAAATAAATCAAGTATTTATTTTCTCAAATTTTTTATTTTCTCAAGGATAATGAGCAGGGGCAATAGACAGAAAACCAAGTTGCAAAATCACGACGAAGCTCAGATAGTAGAATACCAAGAAGAGAGCACAATGCACCAGGATACCATTCCAATAAGAGCAATACAATGAACACTGATGTCAATGTCATTATGTCACCACACTCTAGACACACCAACAAAGTATCCACTGTCCCTCCTACTGTTTGGCGGCAGGCGCACAGCCTACTCTACTCAGCCTATCTAGCCTATCTAGGTTCTTGCAGCCAGATTACATCGTTGTTGAAGACCAATGTACGTTGACGTCATCTCCAATGCCGACCGCCAGCTGCATTGCATTGCGGCCACGCTGCTGCATTGCACTGCGGTGGCAGTGGTCGCACGGTGGCCATAGCCGGCCCGAGTGTACGGGTGCGCAGAGGTGGTGATGGTGGTCTTCGGGCAGGAGGTGCATGAAGAAGAGGGGAGACGAGGTGTTGAGGG